CATCGTCAGATCGACGTGCTTCCCTGGAGGCCGATTTGTCCTTACTACTTACGGACTCTAGCAATCGTACGCGTGCACGACAGCATGGTCGATCTCATATTCAATAGCACAGTCACCTTTATTTGTTTTTGGATGGTAGACCTCGGTACATATCGTAGAAACTTGCCCGAAATTTTGTTGAACAACGAATTTCTTGAATTTGTTGGTAGTGACCTTGGATCCATCGCATGAAACAACTTTGAGCACCCTGTTCCAATCGATAAAACAAAAGGAAACCATGTCACATTACCATGTCTGGTGAATCGACGTTGAACCAGCCCATGTTCCACCAATCAATTCCTACATTTGCAGAGTGTATCTCATATACTCTCGGATCTCTTGCCACCCCCAATCACCTCCAAGTAAGCGCTGCATGAAGTCATGTATCATGTCCAAGGAACAGAATGTGAGCAATGTATATCATGTGTCTCGCGCAATATCAAATAGCAAATGCTCTAAAAAAAAACTTTTGCACAACTCGATTGATTCAGCCACTTTCCTATCTCGGAGTGATGAGATGAGTCGTTTGTCACATCCTTCGTCATAAAATCCAACGAAACACCAACAAAACTGGTAAACAAATCCGAAATATCTCCACGGGTATCTAGCCATGATTTATCTTGATTTTATGGATGGTTTTTAATACGATCATCGAACCGATAAACGAGAAGACGAACGCCTCCGAGATCGGTCATGAGATGGAGAGCTTGATTCCGATGACGGATAATATATTGCTGTAAGATGTCAATCTCATCAACATGGTCTTTTCCTACCGGTACGCTTCCCCATGGTACCGATACGGCAAAGTAACTGCCGGACTATCATTATTCGTTTCTATTCTCAGAAACAGTACAGTGTAGTATAAAAGTGTTGAACTACAATACCGGTACAGCATAAACATGTATGGTTCTTGTTTTATGGTGGAGTCTTTAGTGAAATTTTAGCCAATGAGAGTTAGTCGATTCACTAAAGATGAGTCTATTATTAGTGGTATGAGCCAATCACAGCTCTCTATCACTAATGATGGATTCGACTAACTCTGTTCCACACTAAATTAGTACTCTCCACAGACTTCAAATGATGTTAGGGGGGATGTTAGGTCCAAGCTCCATACGGCCCTAGCAGTTTTTCTTTGCCTTATCAAACGACTAAAGACCTTGTCTTAAGGACCAACCTTAGCCCTCGATCATGAGGAAGCGCTGTAGATCCCCTAGGATGACTTTGAGCTAACCTGAAGAATGGGATGGTAGGTTGGCACCAACTGAAATTGACTGGTACTACATGAGGTAATAGATAGATCCAACGATAGAAACTGATTTTTCAATCTTTCAGATAGAGCACTAATATGTATTGTGGAGTATCGTTCAGACTTCTCTGATGGCAGAGTGAAATCAACTGCTGATACCGGTATAGGTAGGTACGACTACTAGTAGTACTACTTGATAGTAGTAGTCTCTTCACCTTTGGAATCAAGTCATTGTCTCAAACTGGTGCAAAAAGGTTGATTGTATTGCCATCAGAGTAGAATATACAATACCCGAATCTGAAAGCATCATCTATGACTATACTGTATCAGACTTTCCTATCGCGGCTTTGGCCAGCAAGGAACCATGCACTGTTTCTATCTATGTTTTCGCCTGTGAATCTTACTCAAAACCGGTTGATTATTGCATGTCTTCAATCGTGGAACACCCTTTGCGATGAAATCGGGCTTTGTGGTGGCCCCTACTCATCTTGCCTGGTTCCCAAAATGTTGAGTCCATTGAGGACACCGCCGATTATCTACCGAATCCACTACTGGCTGGTTCTCGCAAGCCTCGCATAAGTAAGCGTTTCAATAGTATCATAGCAATAGTATCAGCTGCTAGAGTCGAGCAGTATTCATGCCTTCATTCACCTTGCTTCCAAATGGTTTGTTGTCGACACCAGATCGGGCTGCCGTCTTCACACTGACAGCACTTTGTTCATGGTTCCAATCTTGAAGTATTCGAGACACCAATAATCGCGGTGCGATGAGCCTCCGAGTTTTGATTTAATCTGCGATATGGAGGGATGTAAGATATTGTTATTGGCTTAGAGGTGCTTGGACATCATTTCAATACTGCTGTAGGCGGTTCAGACGCATCGATTATCACATCAAACATTCATGGATTGTTACCTCGTTCTAAATCTGTCTAAATCCTGGCTAACGCCAGGATCATAGCGTATGCCATCTTGCGACGCCACGTGTGAAACCAGCACTGTGTTGTATAGCCCCTTCATTGCAATCCTATTGCTTTCTCCTCTTTTCTTCTCTCTTTGTCAACTGTGTACCATACAAGCAAAAGCGCCTCCCACGCGCGGCCGAGCAGTTCTACCGTATATCAATATCCTGACCTCCCACCATACACCTACCACCATCAGTGTTGGTGTTCATACTAGACATTGATACCTATAGGTGATACTGTAGCTCTCGGGGCTATACGTGGGTACATTACCACTGCTGTGATTTTCCACAGACCTACATGACATTCCTGACCTTTGGAAAGGAATTGGGATATTGAGTATTGTATGGGCAGAAGAACACTCAGGGGTAGTCAAGACTCGAACTTGAGACCTCTGGCTATGCGACTGTTAATCGTCAACTGTGTACCATACAAGCAAAAGCGCCTCCCACGCGCGGCCGAGCAGTTCTACCGTATATCAATATCCTGGAACACCCGGCAAATGACGAAAATCCGTCCCGCGCGGGGTCGACTGTGGGAATTCTGATGTCTTTCAATGGGCGATCCCTGCCTTAAATATATTTCAGTTTTTAAACAATATCATTTTCACAGAACAACTTTATTTTCGATCTTTTCTGATCCTAATTCTGTAAATAACAACGGGTCATTTGATGGTCGCAGGGTCATTAAGAAACTTCGAATTCCAAATCATATCAATAGACGGAATCCTGAAGTTGGGAGTTATAACTCACTGCGAGGGAATCCTTGAGTTATAACTCAAACGTGTGAGTTATAACTCAAACGTGTGAGTTATAACTCAAACGTGTGAGTTATGACTCAAACGTGTGAGTTATAACTCAAACGTGTGAGATTTTACTCAAACGTGTGAGATTTTACTCAAACGTGTGAGTTATAACTCAAACGTGTGAGATTTTACTCACCGAGCCGAGCTTCCCCCTTTTCCAAAACCGTTGATGGAAATTCGAGCTGGCGGACCAACGACTACTTTCACCAAAAGATACAGTCCTGTACTTTTCCAGATCCAACCTATAAAAGAACTTGTCAAGCAACATCATTGGGACAAAAACGAGTTCTACGGCGAGGCAGGAGGTGAAAGGAGAGAGGCTTTCAGCCGCTTCCTCACCAACAAGGTCAGAAGAAAGGGTTTTGGTTGGAAAGAATACGTTGATTTGCTGGATGAACGGGAAGTTGACATGTCAGCAAACACGGAGACGCAGCTGGCAACGGAACTTCAAGCCAAGTGAGAGCCAAACGATGGCAACGGAACTTCAAGCCAAGGGAGGGCCAAACGATGCCGTGGTGAACGACGCTCGTGCTGTTTTTATTTGACGAGGGCAAAACAGAAAAAAAATCATGTTGGCCTCACAGCACCGAGTTTCAAGAAACTAGGGCTGAATACCACCCATTCAAAAAACGAAAATTCAGAGAGCGGATTCAACAAGAAATTAGATTTCAAAAGTACCGCAACTATCTGGAGGATAAAAGAATGAACAAGCTGGCGAAGTTGAAGAAGGAAGAAAAGAAAGAGAAAAAGAAAGAAAACTTATTGCTCTATGAACAACGTATGAAAGTAGCAATGGCCGAAAAGGAGGAGGAAACAAAGAAGCAGGAGGAAGAATCGCCGATGTCTGAGGACTAGCAAGTAGTAATAAAATTGTATTAGATATGTGGTAAATTATCCTATATCAAAGAGAGGGTGACAGTTATTCATTTGGAATTGGACTGTTCCAACAACTGCACCGACACATTTTTGATGTTTGTCTGTCGAATATTTGAACGTGTCGACGGTTTTAAAAGTTTCATGGCGAAGTGTGTTGCATCGGATGATTTTTCATTCGTGGATCGCTTGAAGCGGCCCTTCCCCCATTGGAGAACATCATCCCCCTGACATTTTCTGAGTACGTTTGAGTTATAACTCACACGTTTGAGTAAAAACTCACACGTTTGAGTTATAACTCACACGTTTGAGTTATAACTCACACGTACTCACACGTTTGAGTTATAACTCAACGCCGTGAGTTATAACTCAGGATTCCGTTGTGATCTGAGTTATAACTCAGAAAAAGTCACAATGACCAATTGGTCATCTGTGTCCATAAGTCCCTATTTGATAAATCATCACATAAAATAATATGTCATTAATAGTTAAAGGGAAATAACATAGATTTTTCGAAGCTAAAAATATAATTTTAAATCTCCGGGAGCGAGCACGTCAAACTTTGCGATCAGTGTCCCGAAAATACTCGGTCTGAACATTTGCCGGGTGTTCCTGACACTCTTCGTTTTTTCCTTTCTTCTTCCTTTCTTCTTCCTTTCTCCCCTTCTTTTCTCCCCGGGGGATCTAGTATAAACTGCTCCACCAGCATAAAATAAAAACCACATGTATTATAAAAACATAAACAAAATCAATCGAATGAGTCAATCATATAGAGTGAATTTGATTTTCGCGCGCTGAATGCGCATGTGAGAGGAAGGTTTCCGAAAGTCAAAGATTGTGAGAGCAACAGTGAGCTCCCGTTTTACTTCATCGCTAGACAGAAAGGATCAACAGTCGACAGGCCCTTAATAAAATCCTTCCGAAAAGCCAAAGCTGCAAAATCTCTATAGCAACAAATTTGCGAGAAGACAAGAAACATGTTTCGAAATCAATACGATACCGATGTCACTGTATGGAGTCCCGAAGGGCGGCTGCTTCAGGTGAGTTCGGTTTCCTTTCTTGGCTCGATGCGCCTTTCTTTGCTTACACGCTTACACACTGATCTATTTTTTGAAATATCAGGTGGAATATGCAATGGAGTCAGTCAAGCAGGGGTCCGCTTGTGTCGGTCTCCGCAGCAACGACTATTGCGTTCTTGGAGCCCTGAAGCGTAGTGTGAGCGAACTCTCATCTCACCAAAAGAAATTGTTGGAAATTGACGATCATATGGCCATGGGAATTGCTGGTCTTACAGCAGATGCTCGTTCCCTTGCCAAGTACATGCGCAACGAATGCTTGAACCACAAATACGTTTATGGGGATAACATTCCACCTGCTGTTTTGATGAGCGATTTGGCGGACAAGCACCAACGTACCACTCAAACGTATGTAAGACGTCCTTTCGGAGTTGGTCTGTTGGTGGCGGGAGTCGATCCCCAACGAAACTCTTGCCACTTGTATCAAACCTGTCCCAGTGGCAATCTCTACGAATTTTATGCATCGGCAATTGGCGCCAGAAGCCAATCTGCGAGAACCTACTTGGAAAAGCATTACGAATCTTTCCCAGCAAGTTCCAAGGACGAATTGATCGTTCATGCTCTGCAAGCTCTGGTTGGGTGTGTCAGTGGCGATGATGAGCTGACAAAAGAAAATGGAAGCATTGCGGTCGTTGGAAAGAACCAAAATTATATTCTTATTGAAGGGGAGGAACTGCAGCCATACTTGGATAAATTGGAAATCAAGAGAAATGATGACGACGATGCCGAGGAAGAGGAAAGCGAAGTCGCTGAGGCAATGGAAACTTAGATGACTGTATAGCTGAATTCATTTTATCAGATTGTTTGCCTCACTCATCTTGATCTGGGTTCATTTACGATTTCAAACTAGCTCCGATCGTCTAATTTCATTTAACTGATGGTGAGCGAACGTGCCTTCTGCAGGCCCTTATTCTGCGCAGGTACAGCACTACACGCTCTTCAGCCGTACTATAGTGCTGCTTCCTTTCCGTTGGCAGTTGGGCTATTAGTATTGCTCTAATGATGTGTCCTGCAGAATAGGCGTGTCGGTCCAAGAGTCTAGCCTTAAAAGCAAGCGCCCAAACTCCTCAGGCCACAACCAATTGATCCAGATTGATTCATGAGCCGTGTAATGTAATCGAGGTTGGAAAACGTTTTGGTTCAAGTTCCGATGTTTACACCGTTAGACATCCTTTTCAAGTGCTGAGCTGTGCACCGCCGGATATGGCTATTTTTCTTCACAACATGTTCTCCAGCTGTCTGACAATTCGCCAAGTATTGACGCCATCATGCTGGGAGAAGGACAAAGGTTGACGGATCGCGCCTGTCGCCGATCCGCAAATGAAACAGATTGCTCGGTTCCGAACGAGTTTTCCGACATGTAAAGATACGAATACTTTTTTCCGCTGTTGATCGCAAGGGAGCCAAAGAAATCTGGAATGGCATAACCCTTCCAAAGATTGAACACGTGAGCAAAACATGCGCGCTTCATTTCAAGAACTCAATTGCGGTCATTACCTTGGGAAAAAGTTCGACTAGGTGAGAACAGCGTGCATTCATAAAGGCCACACCAGTGAGCTGAGCGCCATGTGAAGCAACCAGAATGTCAATCGATCGGAAGAATGACACTTGCTCAACAAAGTCCAAGCCTTCGAAGTATTGGACCGACACCGAGTTGTTGTGGGAAAAGTCCTGGACGACTGGTGTCCTGGCCAGGAGGTCGGCATTGATGATTGACCTTCCTGCTGATATCCGTCGATTCAGAATGCCAATTCGAGGCTTCTTTCTCAAGCAAGTGCGATCACTATTATTTTGGAGTTGAAACTCGTTTGCAGTAAGATGATTCAATTGCGTTGCTTGGTTGAGTATGTAACCACCAGATATTTCGATTGGCTGAGACTTCATTTGTCCCCCTTCGTCACGTTTTCGTTCCGTGTATTCTTTCTTGCTCAACACATCCAACTTTAGCTGTGATTGAAAGACTTGAAAGATACCAGCAAGAAAAGGATTTCGCTTCAAGTTCTTCTCTACCTGGCCTGATACGAGGAGAATAGGTCGGTTGTCTGGATATGTCTGCCATAGAGAAAAGCAACCATAAAGTTGTTGCATTGTATGAGGGAAATGCATCGCAGACGCTCGATCCTTGTTGAACTCACACACAACCTCTTTGTCGTCTTTGGATACTGGATAATTCCAATAGCTTGAAGCGTTAGCATAATTTGGAAACGATGATACTTGTTCCATTGGTTGATTTGCTCTAGGTTTGCATTGATTTCTACGATTCGCTAGGTTTTCCATGGGTCGTTGACTCGGATGCCTCGCATTTTTATTGGAGTGGACTAGCATGCTGTGGTTGGACACATTCGATTGGGAAGTGCTGACATACAAGAGTGCTTTTTGTTGAGTGTTTGTTTGGTTTGAAGTGTTCAAAAAGTTGAACAAAATTCCCTTTCGGGAGGTGGAAGTTGCAATCAATGCAACTATAAGTAACGCAACTATATGACACCTCAAAAATGTGCGTCTCATGCCAGCGGTTCATGTCATGTGCAGAATGTTATATCGGATTGTGGTTACAGTAGTGTACCGGTACCATAGGCTTCAAAGCAAAAAGCAAATTGCCCCTTTTCTGTGTTTCTCCAATTCCTCTCAAGGCTAAATAAGTACCACTAGAGTAACGGTCGAGAATCAATTCAAAATCGCTAACCGTTATTATATCATCGAAATTCGACCGTTGAGTTCAGGTTTTGCGTTTTTGACGGACTACCCAACATGAAATCAGCGACGATTCTACGTGATTTGTTCGTACAATGCAGGTAAGTTTCAGCCAGTCATCGCTCCGGTTTTGCAGTACTATACTGTACAGCATTCCTACTACCATCATAGTTTTCTCCTCAAACTTGAAACCCCAAACAACTCCCATAAAAGCGTTGAGATTGGACGAGCAGAACTAACCATTGCAATACAAACTAGTTTATCGGGTACAAGAATACAAAATGACCAGAGATCTAGTATGGGAATGCCGATACAAGGAGCTTGTGGAATGGAAAAGGATCCACGGGCACTGTGAGGTACCTCAGAAGAATGGGAGCCTTGGACGATGGGTTCATCGTCAGCGTGAAAGCAAGCACAAGAACAACATGAGCGAAGAAAGAACGCAGAAGCTGAATGATCTTGGTTTCGTTTGGCGTCAGAAGTCGTCGCGACCAACGGACACCTGGGACGAGAGGTTTCAGCAGCTCGTTTCCTACAGGCAAGTTCATGGAGACTGCAACGTACCCCAGTCGTACGAAGATATGCCTGGTTTGGGACGTTGGGTGAACCGTCAGCGTACTGCCAGGGCAAAAAATGAACTTGGAGAAGAGAGGGTTGCCAAGCTACGAGGCCTTGGCTTTTCATTCAACACGAAGAACTTCTTGTGGGACGCCCGCTTTCAAGAACTCGTTCGGTTCAAAACCGAAACCGGTCATTGTGATGTTCCATATGGCTGGAGCGAAAACAAAGAACTCAGCAAGTGGGTACAAAAGCAACGCTACCTGCACACTCTCAAGAACCGAGGCGCCAAAAGTAACCTTACCGATGAGAGAGAATCGAAGCTCAAATCCCTGGGGTTTGTATGGAACGCCAGTAGTACTTCCTGGGACACACACTACAATGCCCTATGTCTTTACAAGAGACGACATGGAAATTGCAACGTTCCTCGTCCCTACCCAGAGAATCCAAAACTATCTAATTGGGTCTACAACCATAGAAGCGAATATTCCAGAAAACGTCGTGGTCTCAAGAACAATCTAACAGCTGAGCGCGAAGAAAAGCTTAATGCCGTTGGATTTTCATGGGTTCTCAAACAAAAGACAAATCCAGATGTACAAGAGCACGACGAACGAGATGATGTCACATCCAGTCCCAAAAGAGGAGCTGAATGGCTGGAATCAGATGATCGCACTGAGGCTTCGGACCACAAGCGTCATTGTGCCGAAGTGCGAACAATATCATCGCCAGTCCCATCCTCTTGCGATGTTCCCCAGAAAGCGCGACCCAATTTGTCGCACGATGACGATCAAGTGATGGTAGCTTCACAACTGCTAAACCTACGTGCTTTATTCTAGACGACAAGAATGGCAAAGGCGTTGCATCTGCATTATCAAGCTGCAACTAGCACTATTTACCACTAATTGTTGTTTAGACCCAATAGATACAAACAGATTATTGTGTTCGGCCACGATGGATGAAACTAGAGTGGGAGTAGTGCACAGTATTGCTTTCGTTGTGAACCCTATTGATTGTACTCACGTTTGAGCACAACTTGAATACTTTGAAAGAATGTGCCATAGACAACAATAGACAACGTAAGCGATGGACACGGAAAGGCATCAAAACTTCAGTCGAGAAGAAGAAGCATCAGGGTGGAAAGATACAGCAGTACCAACAATTGAGAACATGTAATATAGTAGTATGCATTATTGCCCCTGGTCTAGCTGTGTACCAACACTGATGTAGCTGTTCTAGGAACCAAGTCTCATGACAGCCTTTTAAAATAAACATTATCAAGCCCCCTTTTATTGGCAACCCTCTCGATTTGGCGTTTTGAAAGGTGACTACGATAGAACTGACCAGGTTCGTACTATAATATGGAGGAAAAGAAAAAATGTCAGGAACTCATAAGAGTGGTGACTCTCTGCTCTCTGGTCAGTGACTGTGCTACGTATGACGCACAGACGACTCTATCCTGACCTCCTCTTCGGCTGTTGACTGTCAGACAAACGCCTCCAACCTCCCTCCTCTCATGCCTGATGGCACAAGAACAGATCAGATACGATATCTAGGAGTGTAGGATATGGTTGACTAATGTTACGATTGAAATGGCTGCTGTTTGGATTTCCTGGCTGAATAGTGGAGGCATAATGGGATCAAAGCATAGTTTTATCAAGGATTGTGTGGAATGCGTTGCCTCCCAATGATTTTGTACAAATGTCTGCCCAATTTTCGTGGATATTGCACCAAATGGGGCGAACAATTCTGCCTGCCACTGCCTCTCTGACCATGTGGTAAGAAATCGCAATGTGCTTCTTTTTCAATTCCGAATTCACTAAGAAGCTTGCTGTTGTTGGGATATGACGAAATAGGAGTTTATACGTTCCAAAAGAAACTATTCAAGTACAAGGTTTTCGACACGTGCGATCGGATTTTGATCGTGCAAGATGTCGGGATTCGACGCAAGTATGCCGGACGCAAGTCTGTCGGACAATCTGTATCCACACAAACAGGAAAAGATCCTGTACAAGTGGA